TAAAAAAGGAAATGTGGAGTAAGTGTTCATCGAAAAAAAAAAAAAGACCAACACTGAAGGAAAATTAATTATGCGGGGAAAACAAGATGGGGCGGGGCACCGCTTATCTTTAACAAGCAGACTATTTCGTCTCAATGTCTTCCTATAGGTACATGTTAAATTGTATATAATCAATTATTAAGTATTTGTTACAATTTATTGTTCTTTTCAAGCAGATTGGCGCTCTTACATTATCATTCGTGGGCCGTACATGTATTTGATAATTCATTAATATTTTTTTTCCCACGTCAGCCTTAACCGAATGTTTGTTTGATAGCAATAACAAACGTGACCACAATCCTAAAATTCTTCACGATTGTCTTGATATCATGGACAGATCTCTGTGGACATTAAAACGTTTAATGTTAAAATTATTTTCCGTAACCACTGTGAAGACAATTTGCTCCATTGTCACTGTGCTCAATTCAGTATAATATAAACCGAGCACCAGAGAAAGAAAAATTATAGCGTTTTTATTTGATGAAGATTAATTATTATTATTGACAATGTCTTTTTTGTCCAACATTGCAAGATTAATTCTGCCACTCGCCACAGTGTTGAGTAAATTTTTTTTAATTATCTCATTGGAACTCATTCGTTTTTGCGTTTAATCCGTGGAACAGATGTTGGAAATTTTCTTTACGAAAATTAATTATGATGACTAACATTTGGTCTTCGAATAACAGTCTCTTCAACGTAAAATATGTATAGAAGAACAGTTTAAGTTTATATGATGGCTTTGGTGGTTTACTTTTAGCTATCAGAATTTAGAATGCTAAATATAATAACATTATGTTGAATACATTCGTCATTTCCCAAAATGTCAAGTGATTACTTTATCGAGCCACCTGCATCTTTGTATGTGTCGCAAAGAACGGAAATTATATTATGAGCCTTTCGATTGGTTTTCGAAAAAGCAATGACGTTTTAACATTGTTCTATGTAGAGTGAGAAGGTAAATTCTGGTCATTATTGTGTTAAAAGTGCTATATATAGAAAATATACGGCACAACATAAAGTGTGGGATACAGGTGGCATGCAAATATAGCACAGTTTGGAAATTAAATAGATTAAGTTTTTGCTGAACGGAAAAATTATCAACTGTTGGTTCGACCCTTCCATCGACGATGCATGCTCTGTCTTAAGGCGTGCAATCAATCACATCATCCTCGAGCAAAGGGGATCAAATAATAGCAGTCTACCATACGGTATTTTTACTTAAAGAGTTTATGATTTTTCACAAAGTTCAAAATTCCCGTTGGTCTGGTTACCGGAAGAGATCATCATTGCCAGCATCGATAAAGTTTCAGCTTCCAAAAGAAAAAAAAAAGGGGGAGGGACAAGGAACACGTTTATTTACAGATGTGATACAAAAGCAGCTAGCTATCAGAATGCAGGAGGGGTAATATTGGGTCTCTAACCTAAAATTTTAGCTTTTAATCTAAATAATTCAATGCATAAAAGGTACGACCTTCTAAGATTTATGTATGCCGTTTCGACAATCATGTAATACCACGTTTGGCTTTTTGCTCAGGTTAAAATTGTTACGTCATTTGATTCGACAATATAGTCTTACAGTCGAGCTTTTATTGTCAAGATACAACATACACACACACGCACGCATACGCATACGCAAAGTGAATGAATGTACATTGGATTTCTGTGAGATTACTAATTAACATCTACGGCATTCTGTTTATGATGGCGTGGCAACAAGACCGTCGTATGAAAAATGCAAGGTCACACCTGTTATTGTAAACAATCTGGAAAATTAGAAGATGCTTCTAACAAGAACTTTTCTTATCACCAGCATGTCTCCGTAATATGATTATCCCAACAATTGGTCGAAAGTTTAGTTTTTATTTTAATCAAGATAAAAAATGAGATAAAGATCTGGTGTGTTCTACTTTAGAATAGTCGCCAAGTATTGAATAGGTTGATGTCAGCCTACATACATGTTTCAAACATCTGTAATAGACGTATTTTCCCTACTTCATTATTGAGCGGATGTCGTTACATTATGACGATTTATTTTTATCTTGTAACATTATAAATTTGGTAATAGGTATGGGATTTTAATATCACAATTAATTATTACTCGAACTATGTACGATAGCTAAAAGTGAACAAGTAACACGAGTCTGTGAGAGTATGAGTGATTATGGAACGACACTCAAATCAACCAACCAACTAAATATTCATTGGGGACAATGGAAATTTGACTGTGCAAGTTCCCGTGATCCATGAATGAACTTGAAAAAAAAAATAAAATTTTTAATCTAATGTCGCACTAATAGCGCACAAATTGTCTGTCGTTTCGTGTAATGATCTCGCAAGTCATTATTAATCGATTGTCGATAAATGTTAACAGGAATTGATTTGTTACTATTACAGCCCCTGAAAGAGTTGTTAATTCGTAGATATGACAGAGTGCATTAATTAAAGCTGACCTTATTATTATAACTTACATAATATAATTATACTTTACGCTGATAATGATAGGGGAAAATAAAGTTCGTCATAGTATATCGATTGTCATGTGATTCAAACCACGGAAAAACATTTATAACAAGCATTGTCATTTAAATAATACAAGTTATAAATTAATAAACAATTGCCGCTTTAAGCAAATATTCCTAACGCTGGTCATAAAAATTCATAGAGCTTTTGCGTTTATGGAACAGACCACTAAATAAAAAATAAACTACTTCACCGTAAACGCATAAAAATGCAATTATTATTATAAGTGTTTTATCGTCTGCCTCAGTTCTGACCGATCGGAACTGAGATAGCCCCAACCCCAGATACGACATAGATAACTTCAACTGTTGCAACCTCGTGGTGTATTGTTTGGTTGATCAAATATTCCGATGTCTAGATGATCGTAATACAAACGCTAAGAAAAACAATAATTTAACTATTACTATATTGAGCAATCTGAGTTAGTGTATTAGTATGACAGCTTGAGCGGTCTCTTGCTAATTGAATAAAATAATAAATGGGTTTAATCTCTTCAAATTCCATAACAACTCTAGCGCATGCACATAACTATACTATTTAACAGAGTTAAATACGTTTAGGTTAAACATGGCATCCAACAACTGTCTGAATACTATATGTTAGGCGGCCTTTTTATTATCTCCTCGTTTTGAAAAAAAAAATATACAACTGATTGCAATACAAGCAAAACGAAGAAACAAATGAATATGCTCTTATCGTCTCAGCTTCTACTTGTGTGACAGTACAGTCTTCTGTATGCGAGAGAGAGTCCATGACTGAGCCGCAGGAATTCGCCCGCCACGAGACAGGATCCCCGCTTATTGTGGTATCTCCAAAAAAAATGTTTAAGCAGGAATAGAAAACAGTTAAATAAGACAAACTATGTATGAAATTTTTTGAACAAAGTCTTAGTAATTCTAGCAGTAAATTAAACGGTTTATTATGTAATATACCGCCTTGCTCTTACTGTAGACCATGGATAGGTATGGTACTAATCGTAATATAAATAGTAATGATTAGATAGAAATAAACCTATTTATTGAACCTGGGCTTTGTTAAAATATTTTTGGATAGCCAATAAATTATAAAATAAATTGAAAAGGGTTTTAAATAATGACAATACAAGAAGTATATAGCTTTGAGCCGACTGCCATGTTTTGAATGTGTCATGGATACATATATTGCAAGAGACTGGTTAATCTGTTAGTACAGTCAGTCCTCTGCATTGAAGTTTTGTTGGTAAATGCGGACGAAAACTTTATCTAGAGATGTTTAGCTTTTGCTGCGGTCGTACCACCTGTTGGTTGGTTGTTTGCACACGTTACGTTAAAGTCATGCAGTTCACAGAGGTTCTACTAATGCAGGTTTGCATATTTGAATAGTGTAAGACTTTATGATTTGTATATTTGCATTTGCATCCAACCATTGCACAAAGATTATATGCATAACGTCACGTCATCAAGGAAATTTTATTCATTTCCAAGCCACCGATCAGACGAATTCTTCTTATTCTCTTTTGTCTGCTTGCTTAATCGACAAACATCTGTAAATAATATCTACTTTTCAAATCCTCTCTTTCCTCCAAACTCTATTTCCTCTTCTTGATTCTATTATCCACCCCATCGCCGTTTTCCTAAAATAAGTAACATATACACAGAATGGCGTTTCCGTCGTTCGGAGGCTTCAATTCATCAACCCAATCCCAACAGCCGGCATTTGGCTACGCCTCGACTCAATCGTCCTTTAATTTTGGCGGTGGGGCATTTGGACAGGGTGCCCAACAGCCTCAACAGCCAACTTTTGGTCAAGGCGGACAACAAGGGGGATTTGGTTATGGACAATCGACCGCTCCTACATTTGGGGCTGGCGCGTTTGGAGCGGGTAGTAAGACTCAAGGAACTGGATTTGGGTTTGGAGGACTACAAGGACAGCAGCAAGCACAGACTCAGAGTGCGTTCGGTTTTGGTGGTGGGTTTCAAGCGAACACGACTGCGGCCCCCGCGTTTAATGCGTTCGCGCAAACTCGAACTGCGGCACCAACCTTTGGATTTGGAGGATTTGGAGGATTCGGTAATACAAGTACAAAGTCGACAACGTCATTTACATTTAATCAACCATCACAACAACCGCAAGGAGTCTTTGGGGCTCAGCAGACTCAAAGCGCGTTCACAGGTTTTGGAGGTGCAGCAGCAACAACGACGAGCGCACCGGCGTTTGGAGGAGGGTTTGGTGGATTTGGTGGATCGTCTACAAGCGCGGGAACAGGCTTGTCGACAGGATTTGGAGGATTTGGCGGGTTTGGCGCAACTACGTCCACGACTTCTGCATTCCCATCCGCGTTTGGTCAAACCACCGCGGCTGCCTTTTCCTTTAATCCGTCTCAATCGGGTGGATTGGCTTCTGCCTCTTCGGGATTTTCGTTCAATGCGCCTGGAACTGGTTTTGCGGGCGGCAGTGCATTTGGAAACAAGTCTGTAGGATCCGGTTTTGGTCAGACTAGGGCTACTGGAACTTTTGCGTTTGGTAATACTGGAGGATTAGGATTAGGAGGAACGGGAAGGGGTGTGGGTGGAGGTATGGGATTGTTCCAGCAAGGACAACAGGGACAGCAGCAGCAGCAGCAGCAACAACAGCTACAGCAACAACAGCAAGGACAGCAAAGTAAGTGTTATTTGTGAACGAGTTGGCGAGTATGTAGAAAGGTTTAAGTTTTTTTCTGTGGGGGAGAGATTGGTCGGTTGCGTGCTTTCAACCGAGTTATCCATTGGCTTGCCGAATGAATGTAAATTGGTCTGTCAATTGGGTTGTCGAATTGGTTTGTCAATCCCGTTGCTGCATGGTTGTCAATTGGATGTCAGATGGGTCTGTCAAATGGTTTGTCTAATGCTTGCCAATGCTCGCTATACTTAAAATAATCCTTAATGTCAGTTTTTTCTATATGTCTCTAATTCAATTTAATTTATTGTTTTTAGCTCAACAACCACAGACTGTATATGAACAACTTCGATCAATAATGAATTCATGGGATCCCAAAAGTCCCGAGTCCAAGTTCCAAGTATGTAGTTTGGGTGAAAGAGGTAGATTGTAATTTGATAAGGATTGCAATTTATGGACTATGAAAACTGTTATGTTTATATTCCAGAATGGTGCTGTCATCATTTAGCATTATTGTTATTCATCATTAACAATTTTTGTAGACATATCTCTATAACATGGTCCATCCAAATGAAGCTGCCCAACATATTCCGCCGGCAGATAGACCACGAAAATTATGGGACGAAGCGCAAGCAAACAATCCCGATAGAACATGGTAAGTCGGGTAACTCGTAAAGAATTAGTAACTAATAGAGAGATATGTATAATGATACGTCTAAACTTTTCTTTTACACCGCTTCCGACGTTTGGCTCCCCAGTTTAGTTCCCGCCTTAATGACAAATTTTGAAGATTTGCAAAAGCGTTTAACACATCAAGAATCTGCAGCAACAACTTGTAAAGCTACTATTGATGTAAGAGAATTATTTGTACGCTATAAGTTTAGCAAGCTATTATGTTTGCGTTGTTTGACTCTGACACTTTGTGATTGCGGTTTGTAGAAATTAAGCAAAGAAATCGATGGAATGGAAGAAATACATAATATGCAGACCTTGATCACCTTGGAGAATTATAAGCGGAAATATATGCAACTCACGCAACGGATTATATCAGTATGTTGATACTATGTGGTTGTCTGATGGTTTATACGATACTCATCACTCACCGTTATGATTTTTATTCATCACAGTTAATGATCAAGCTTCAACTAAAACACCTTCGAAACACGGCAGTCTCAGTTGAAGAACAACAACTCCAAGCAGAAATCGAGAAGCTCAATCACGACCTCAAAGGCCCAAATCAAAAAGTATCACAGCTAAAGATGCAGTCTAGTATCCTGAAAACACAGATGATGCCGAGTAGTGGAATCAAACAGAAATACGAAGTTGTTGATGGGAAAGAGATGGAGGCACTTGTCAGGGTAGGTGTCGTAGAAGGCGGTTAGCTGGATTTTGGGGGTAAAGTGGGTGAATAGTCGCATGTATTTTTGGAAAGAGATTCAGACTCTCAAACAAGGGAATAGAATTTCCATTAATGGAAGTCTCTGTTCGCTCTTGCTTTGGACCTGCCACATACCCTCCAAACTGATCCTCGCCACGTTTATGTCTCTGTAGGTGCTCGCTGAGGAACAAACGGGCATTGCTCATGTAATTGAAACAGTGCAAAAGGACTCGGATGATGTCCAAAAAATGAGCAATGAGTTGATAGGAGAGCAGATGGGAATGAACATGATTACGGACACTGTTAGTAGATAGTTGTGGGAGTCTTAGACAATTAGGGAACTGATGTAGTGTATTTAGAATAAGCTGCGTACTAGAAACAATGTAAAATTTCCAAATATAATCAATTACTCGTCTAACATTAATGGCGTTCTGACGTCGATCTTTAAAAAAAAAAGCCAACCAAATTCTCTTGACAATAGTCGTTTTATAATCGGCTCCATTTTGTTATTAAATATAAAACGAATTTTATTCTAAAATTTATTATTTTACAAAAAATGGTCAAGTCTTTAATCATTCGAATCGACTATCTTAACTTCTGCTCCATCCAGCTCCTCGGACCTCTTCAGACGGCATGAATATAGGTAGAGGATGTGCTTCCGTGTTAAATACATATTTATCCAATGGTAACACGTCCGTATCACCAAATAAAAGGTACAGATATTTAAGCGTCTCGGCCTACGTAAAGTGACGGCAGAAAAAGAAGAACCGATCAATTCACAAACCAAAATATCTCCCTTATTATGAGAAACCCAAATCCACCCATTCTCCCCACTCGCACCCCTAAACACTCACCAACCAAAATGTCTCCATTTTGTCTCGTCTGCCGGGTGGTATAGTAGTAACGTCATCGAGCGATGTGTATCCTCCTGTTTCGTGTTTAGCGTATTTTTCAAAAGCCTCAAATATCTTCCAGCCCCATTCCCTGAATGTACAGAGAATCACGACGATTTCATGTACCAAAAGTATACAAGATGCACGCATTCAATAGATATACAAAAAGTTTAACTCG